TGCCAATCTAAGCAAGATATAACTAATATGCAGATCCCTCCTTTCCACACATTACTGCAGCTCCTGCTGGAGTTCCAAATTTGTGACGTGTTTTGGTTATGCTATAAGATCTTGCTTGATTAGAACTTTTTGAAGTAGAGCTCTTCCAAAATTCACTACACTTGTATATCAACAGTTTTCCTAACTTGATTTTAGGTATAAATTTGGCTAGCATACTGAAATCTGCTAGGAATAAATATGGAGAACACATAAAATAGCCTGCTTGCTTCTCTCAAACAAGGAACAGGGATTTTTTTCTGTGAAAGGAGGAGCTAGTTTCATTCTGTGCATGTAGGCAGGGGCTATATACAATGCAGGTATTTCCTGGCTGAAGAGCTGTAGTATACAAATCAGGCTAAGTCTTCCTGAAATTGGGTTAGCATCTGCCAGTGCTGAGCTCTGTCCTATTTGCTACGTGCGTGGGAAGAGATAACTGCACTAGGAATAGCTCCAGTGACAGTCACAGTGTTCTTTGTGTTCTGTTGCTCCAATGTAGTGTACTCAGGGCCTTGTATATCTGCACAACTATACAGATATTATAGACATCCCTGTAATAATTTCTAGAAATAACTACGAATATGTTAATAATCCAAAGGAATACATCTGTGATCATTAAAATTGTTTTCAACTTTCTACAAACACCTATTTTCTATGTGTACACAATTCTACATTGTTTTACTGAATGTTTTGTTTCTTGAATAGAATAACTGAGGAATTTCAAGGAAAAGAACATTTTAAAAACAGGGCAGTTGCTTTTTGTTTGTTAAAGAAGCTAGGTTGGGTGTGTTTTGGTTTTGGTTTTGCTTTGGTTTATTTTGTTTTCTTCTAGGTGCTTCTCTGTGGATCTATAGTGAAAAGCAAGGACTTGTACTTCTTGCCCCGGCCTATGGCATTGATGAATTGTACTTTGATGGATACACATTCAGGGTATCATTCTTCCTCTTCATAAACTTGAGCGTTGAGAAATTTCCATAGCATTCTCTTAAACTGGTGTGTATTGCCACTCATTTGTGGCAAACCCAAATAAGTGCAGGGCACAAAAAAAAAGAACCAACAACAACAACAAAAAAAAAAAAAAAAAAAAAAAAAAAAAAAAAAAAAAAAAAAAAAAAAAAAAAAAAGGAAGATGATGCTACAGGATTACACAGTCCTGCTCTTTTTTTTATGAGCAGGAGAAGTGATAATCTTTCACCAACAAAAACAACTTATTCTTGCAGAAGTGTTTGTGGCACCTGAGTGCATACACAGTCAGCAGTGTTTTCAGCTCCCATCCACTGTTCTTGCAGCTGTATAATTCTTCAAATCCACAAAAAGCCGTTCTTTTAGGATGAATGGATGCTTTAAAGGCTGCACTAAAAAAAATGTAAAAGAGGAATGTAAGGAATAGGTTAACCATGCTGTATCTATCACATGTGCTATGAAAACATCCATCAGAAAAAAGCTTCAGTATATTAATAGTCTAGACTATTAATAACTCAACTGTCACAGTAGGTTTTAAAGGCTGTAAAAATTAAACACAATGCAGCACCACAGGAAGTTGGCATCTGACTGTCAGACCCTTTTGAATACTTAGCAGAGAGATTTTTAATGTTTGTACATTAGCTTACACTGGAAGAGACCTGCATAGCAAAAATCTGCTCCATTGGTATTACTTTTTTTAACTCTAAACGGTTTTCACTTTTTTTCTCAAAGATTCAAGTTGCTTTATGGATGGCAGGGAAAATGTGTGGAATGTGTGGAAAATATGATGCAGAATGTGAGCAGGAATACCGGATGCCTAATGGATACCTAGCTAAAGATGCAGTGAGCTTCGGGCATTCTTGGATTTTGGAAGAAAAGCCTTGTAGAGGAGGTATGCATGCTCTAATAAATTTGATATATTATTGCAGTTGTTTAGCAAATACAGAATTTGTTCAGAAAATTTAAAATATGTAAATATTTTGGACACAAAAAGCATTTTAAAAAGATTGATTATTAACTTAAATATTTAAATTACCTTCCAATTTATAAAAAAAATGTAAAGTTACAAGTTAAACAAACATGCCAAAATATACAAGTCAGATGAAATTAAGCAACCAAGCTGCAAAAAAGTCTTTGTTTCAGTTTGGAAGTGTTTCAGAAGAAGATAAAAAAAAAAATATGTGAGAGAATAAATTTACATGGAATGCCCTGATTTAAGCACAACAGCACTTTCCAGACATCAATTTCTAGCATTTGAGACATCAAAAAAATCAAATGGAGATTAGTAATTATTACCATGGGTGACCACCTGATTTTTGAACTAGTGCGTCCAAGCAAAGAATTCAAGTGCATGAGGAGTTCCAGGGACTTAATTACATGGCTGGAAAAACAAAACAAAGCAAAACAAAAAGGCTGTATTTTAAGTGTTTCAGTAGATAGGGTCCTTATGGTGTGCTGATGCTCTCAGCTGAGGTTATGATGCAGCAGCATACCATGGTGCTGTGAGGAGAAGAGGCATGTTGCCTTTGTAAAGAAGACCTGTCCTGGTGAGAAGGATTTCCTTTGTCCCTGGAGATGGCTTCTACACGTTTAGCTGTGTATTAACTTTTATTCTTCAATGTCTTTATTAAGAATACTGGGCATCAAACTTGTTTTAGATGGAGTCCACATGTTTTTATGCAATAATATTCCCATGGTTGGTAATGATCACATATTGTGTTTCCATTTAGCATCTGGTGGAAATGACTGGAATTTTAGAGCATAAATCTTATAGTCAGGAATAAATTATGGTCCATTTAAGCTTTGCACACACTGGGTAACTGTGTGCATCCTGGGAATCAAAAATTATATCAATATCGCTGTCTGGCAGCAATGATTTTTAGTCTCTCCCTGCAGCAATTCTGTGTCTGAATGACAGTGAGAATTATTTAATTCTTTAGTGATTATTTTTCTTTGGTCAGAAATCCCCCCTTTATTTTCACTGCTGAATATTCACACATCTGAATGTGGTTTTGCAGCTATTCAGGGAACCAGTTTACTTTGAAAAATGTTTATTAGAAAGTACATCAGCCTATGTTTCTACATACCAATCTAGAAATAAACCAGTTGTGTTTGAAATCAACTTCCTGTAGCTCTGTATCTAATTAGGTGATTTGAAAACCTTATCAGCTAGTGATGCTGCTTCACTTGTGAGCAAAACATAGTTTTTCATAGAGGAAAGTTTTTTGCAAATTGGGTCCTTCTGAGGAGATCTGAAGGTTTGGAATGGAAGCACGTGAAGCAATGATTGTGTTGCAGGCTGCAAACTGCGACGCTCATTTGTGAAGCTGGAGAAGACAGTTCAGCTGGCTGGTGTGGAGTCCAAGTGCTATTCCACAGAGCCTGTCATGCGCTGCATGAAAGGATGCTCTGCTACCAGCACTACTCCAGTCACTGTGGGTTTCCACTGTCTCCCAGCTGGTAAGTCAACAGAAATCCTACTGAACAGGAGCTGCACAAGAGTTTAAACAGGTTGTGCATTGACTCAGTTATTCCACTTGAAACTTATGAGGAATAATAACAAGCTTATGAATAATAAGTCCACCATATCCACAGATAGGGATGGGCTTATTGACTGAAGACCTTTCCATGTTTCCTTTATTATGTAAAACTTCTTTTAGCAAGAGTAAAGTTTTTCTGTTGTAATTTCCCTATGGCTTTGGCATTTAAAATCTAAACAGAGCTCCCCTTCATGGTGCTGTGAGATAACAATGTAAGGGCAGGATAGCAGCACAGTCAACACTGTGCTTCAACTGGAAAACTGCATTGCAGCCTGTGAGGATTCAGCCACAGCTGATCACGTGCAGCACCCTTAAATGGGGATCCTCACCATGTATATTTATGTTGCTGCCTCTGCCTTTGGGTGTGATCTTATTTATCTGAACTGATTTAAGAAATAGAAGGGCAAGTGTGGACAGGATTCCTGCACACAGGTGCAGTGATATAGGAGGATGTCTTTTTTTATAGATATATTGTAGATTATAAGAGATTAGATAAGGTAGCTATATATTATATAGATGATAGGTTCATGTGTGTTTTCCAAGTTTGTTTTTCCTATAAGACCTAAATGTATCCTATTCTATTCTATGAATAGACTTCTATATGGAAGTAGTAGTTTTCAAGGTAGAACTGGGTTATTAATTAAGTGGCCTTCCTGGAGCATTTCTGTGTGACTTAAACAAATAAATACAAATCTGCAAGCCAGCGAGGAGAAAACAAGCCTGCTGTAATTAATGACTAGTGCATGGTGAATGCTGTACCTTGCAAAACTACTTCTGAAGTATGTTTACTTTTAATTTCTTTTTCCCCATCAGATTCAGCTACCAGCCTGACAGACAAACAGACAAAGTTTGACCAAAAGTCAGAGGACATGCAGGACACTGTTGATGCACACACAGCATGTTCTTGTGAGAATGAAGACTGCAGTGCATGAAGCTGTACATGGAAGCACAGAAAAAAAACAGAATCATTTTAATGTTTTTATTGTGTGGTGTAAGAAAACTCATCTTAAGGAATAATAGAGATAGTAAATTAAGTGCTTAAGGATGTGTGGAATCTTCCTGAGTAATTTAAAGTATTAAACTTTATTATTGTAGAAACTGTTATGATTGCCCATAAGTATCTGATTTCATAATAAACCCACGCATGGAAAAAATTATGATGGCTTACTTATTTCACTGGTTATGAAAGAGGAGGTCTGTGCTGCTTCTCCTCACTCCCATTTTGCAGACTTTTGGAGTCTGTGCGCATCTTCTGTGCACCGGGCACGTTCCGTGTCAGGCCCCAGCAGGGACATGGGTGGGTAGCTGTGGTACCAGGCTCCTGCGTGTTTCCCCCAGTGCTTCCTTCCCTGGTGCTGGGAAGGTGTGCAGCTGGAGCAGGAGCTGGTCACCTCTGTGTGATGCAGCACACACTGCAGCAGCAAGGCAGCTGTGGTGCTCTGCAAAAACCACATCATGTGCCAGTGCTGCCATAGACAGCCTGATCTAGTGGGAGGTGTCCCTGCTCATGGCAGAGGGGTTGGAACTGGGTGACCCTTGTGGTCCCTTCCAACCCTGACGGATTCTGATCTGTTTTAGCAGAGGACTTTAGAGCCCTAATGGCTCAATGGTTGGACTTGATGATCTTAAAGGTCCCTTCCAACCAAAAGGATTCTATGATTCTATAGAGAACAAGCCTGAACCTCATGCCACTGGACAGGGCTGCTTTGAGGGAGGCAAGAACACCTTCTGTTCCTGATGCAGAAACTAGCACGAATCAGGGGTGTTGGAACAGGACACGGTGGAGCTACACAAGTATACCACCTGAAAAAGGGTCTGAAGCAGAGCCAGACCTTTACACTTTGGGTGAGGTGTCCTAGCCGCCACACCAAGCATGAGCCCTTGCTGTGGCTACCAGCAGCAAGTGGGCCCTGCCTCCTGCCCACCCACTCCAGCTCTGTGTGGGCACAGTGAGGGACAAGATTGTCTGCCATGAGTGCTGGAGCCTGAAGGATTCCAGTGGATCCAGAAGATGTTTTCTGCTTGCCCCTAAGACTGCTTGCAGAACGAGTATGCACACAGGGTGAATTTTTTTTTCAGAGAATTGCCTTAGGACATGGTGTAGACATAACCATCGACGTCAATGAGACTGTTGGCAGCTTAAGACATCTGGAGTTTTCAGTAGACATGGCATTGTATTTTCTTAACTTTACCTGCCTTAGTTCATCAGCGTTCTCCCAACAATACACACACATCCAGCCATTTTTATTACTGACTGAACATACTTTCATTTTTTTATCCTGAAGTTTGTTAATGCAAACCAGAATGTGATCCCACTGAATTGTTAAAAAAGTATATCTTCAGTAAATTAATTAAAAGAGAAACAAGTTGTTTGGTTCTTAAAACCAGCAGAAATCAGTAAAGAAAAATGGCACTTACTCATGGCCATGTGGAACCGAGAGGTAATCACTGGCTAGTTTTCAAAAACACTAGAGAACATCCTGTAAAAATTGTGTTGTTCTGGTTTATCAAGCCGCTTTGATTCCTTCAATGGATGCACGTATGTGAGTTTTATTGTCTGGATGTGAACTCTATAGTTTGGAAGGTAATGTGCTTAGTACCAAAAGGAGCATGTTCGAAAGACAGGCACGAATATACGGTTATATATATACAGCTTAAATGCTGTCGTGGTACCTTGTGCTGCAAACTGATGGGGAGCTAACAGTGTTTGGGCACTACCTGGCAGCAGCAGTAAAGTGGTGAGCCGGTGGGTTTGCTGCTTGCTTGGAGGTCACATGGAGCAGTGATTTCCTGGGTAACCCCTGAGTCTGAACCCAGCTGAAGCTGGGGCTTTGCATAACCCCCACAGCTGGGGTCCATGGAGGCTCCGGCATGAGCTCCCAGATCCAGTGCTCCTCTCTTCCCAGCTTGCCAAGCCTGGAGCACAGTTTTACAGAGGGACTCTTGGCTTCCAGCCCAAGTGCTCAGAAGTGATGAGCTCAGCAGTAACGCCCAACCATGGCAGCCAGAGCACCTGTAGGACTGTGGGGAGATGCAGGCTATGGGGGTCCACCTCATGGAAGGCTGCAGGGAAGCCTTAGCCAGCCTCTGCCCCTCTCCCCTCTGCCATTGTGGAGAGAGCTGGGCACAGCTTGAGGGAAATGTTGTTCGGGCAGGTCCTGGGCACAGCAAAACCATCACAGTTTTCTTAGGAATTTTTTTTTTTTTCTAAATCTTTTTAATTGAGGTTATATTATTGGGAGAAATAGGAAGCATGAAAGGACTATGAGTTTATGGGGGACAGACTGGGAGCTGAAATCACTCTTGATGTACTGGAGAAATGATCTAGAAAATAAGAAGGTTCAGTTCTATAGAGAAGCCCACAAAGTTGAAGCCTTTACCAACAGGTCTTGCCTGTACCTGGAGCAGAAGCACAGATGATCCTGTGCCACGGCAGTAGCCCAGCAGAGGTAACTGGGGATGCAATGTTTGCTGCCCAAAGTGAGGAGTGGGGTTGGGGCAAGACTCTGCAAGCCCCAGGCTCAGGTTCTGGGGAGACTCTGCCCTTGCAGCTGGGCACAGCCCATAAAGCCCCTAGGGAGGAGACTTATTTTGAGGATTGTTATGGTTCATGGTACCACTGTTAGAGTGTAGTGTTTCAACAATGTAGTGTTAGGGTTTTGAGACAATTAATATGAGTGTTGCTGCATTTAATCTGACATCACAGCAGCACTCTTCTGCTTGCCCTGCTACTGCCTGCAACTGAGCAGCTGCATATAATTATGCCATCATCTATTAGTTTTTGAGCCTCCATTACCAGTTGCCAGTACCTGTATACTCAAATCCTTTAGCTACATTTACCAAATGTCCAAAGACATGACACAAGTCTCTATGAATGGTTTGGCTTTTCTGTCACGTGCCATCAATTTTACAAGGAAAGGGGTCAAAAAAAAATGGGACCAGGATATAGTGCTGGTAAAAACACAGTGAAGTATTTGACTTGCTTAAAAAAGTTTGGGGTGTTTTGTTTTGTTTTGTTTTTACCCTACAAATGCAATCTCTGATCTAGGAACAGAATCCACAGTTTGTCAAACTTTATAAATTATATCCTAACTGTCAATTACAAAAAGTCACCAGGTAGAGAGCATTATGAAAACTAAGCTGTGTTGGAGAGGAGGCACTGATCTGTTGATGAGAAACTGAGTCCAGTCCCTTCCCACAGTGAGCTGGGCAGCAGCTTTGGTTCCCCACCCGCAGAGGAAGCTGGTGGGAAACAGTGGCAGCACGGCACCAACGTGAACCCCTCAGTCCTGGGGCTGCTGTAACCCCCCTCCTGCAGGTTCCTGATGGGAGCAGTGTGGGTGGCTTTGTCTTCCCCAGCTGAGCCCAGCACCACATCGCAGCTGCAGAGGACCCAGGAACCGGGCCAAAACCTGGAGCCAAGAGCTGCCTGATGCACTCTTGGGGCTACCTCCAAGGGGACAGAGAAGGATAAGGGGGCTCCACTGTGGGGTGAATATTGTAGCCCTTGTTGAGTGAAGTGAAATGAGTTTGGGTGAACCAGAGTTTGCATGCCTTGGAAATCAAGAGGTTTGTTTCTGTAATGCTCGTCAGCCTCATCCGTTCCACCCTGCAGGGACAACCCTCACCACCACCTCCCCATGGCCAACCGCACTGGTGAAAGGGGCTGACACATTGCCCCGTAAGAGAAGGCAGGTAAGGGAAGAGTGAACATCGGCAGTGTTGAGCCACAGCCTTTGTGACAGCGACCAGAGGTTTGTGTCAGCGGGTGAGTTCCCCTCCCCGGAGAGCAGCGCTGTGGGTGGCAGCCTGTCCCGCTCGCAGCGGAGCGGGCGGCAGCACGGTGTCACAGGAGGGCTGCCTGCGCATTTTGCACAATCCTCCTGGAGCACTATCAGTTAGATAAGCTGTGTGCTGTATGGTCAGGTCAGGATAACCTGGGCTAAGTCAGCACAGGCTGCAATAGCACCAGATACTTCCAGTGAATATGGATAATTTAGTAGTTTTTCATACACAATAAGTATTTTGGCTTTAGCTACATTTTAATACTTTTAAGCACTTGTTTCAAAAGGAATTTTCAGTGCGTTCTGTTGGTGAAACAAGAACAAAAGCACTTGTGATGGTTTTGGCTCAGCAACAACAGATGGTGCCTTGTCCCCGACCCTCTCTCCCTCAAAGGGTTTGAGTGGTTGATAAAAAGTTGATAACTCAACAAAATTCACTATGCCTGTTAATAATTCTTCTATAAAAGCCACGCATTTTCCCTCACAGTCTTCAGTCACTATCAGCATGAAGGGACTCATCCTGGCCCTGGTGCTCACTCTCGTGGGTAAGTTGAAGCTTTACTAGCATTGCTGAGCCACGATGGCCACTGTGGGCCTGGAAAAACTGCATCTCCTCGGGGCCTTTCAGGAGTGTTTACAGCTTAATTTTTCAAAGTTTTTTTTATGACTTCAGTTGTAAACTCTTAGGTTTCTGTTCCTAAGCTTGGCAGCAGGGGAAAAAGCTGAGCAAGCAGCAGCTAGTGAGTGGGGCTGGCATGGGCTTGGTGTCTTGGGGGTGTGGGGTGCACCCTGGGAGCCCATGACTGGTTGTCTGCCAACCATTAGCATGCTAACTAAATGAATAATAAATGAAAGGATCCACAGAGAGATGAGTGGTTGCTTATGCATCCTTCTCTTTCCTCCCACACAGGGGCCCAGAAGCGGGACCTTGGTAAGTGTGCTCCCACCACCAGTGAGCAGCTCCCACACTGCCCTCCCTTATGGCTGTGCCCTGTGCTACTGCTTCCAGCTATTTTTCGGCAGTAGCAGCATCACCATTCTTTGCTGGGATGGTTCTTGTGAGCGACATCACAACAGTCATAGTGAAGGAGGTGTTTCTGTCACTTTTTTTTCTTTTTCCAATAGAACCTGTTTTTCATATTGGCAAGACCTACCTGTATGGTTACGAGGGGTTCATCCTGCATGGGCTGCCTGACAAAGATCTGCCAGCAGCAGGGGTGAGGCTGACCTGCACGCTGGAGATCAGCCATGTGTCTCACAGTGACCACCTTCTCCAGGTAAATCACCATGGGCATGGGAACCCACCTACTCACCTGCAGCTACAGACATTAGTTTCATCTACCCCTGGCTGGTAAAATAAAATGACAAAAAGTTGCAGAGCTCACATGAAAACTTAGGCCCCTTCTTGGTGCCAAGATGACTCCATAAGCCCACTGCCAGAGCAACTGTCTTTGCTCAGGCAGTGATGATTTCACCAGTGCGGGCAGAACTGCAGACATAGGCACTGAAGCTTACACCCCATAACCCCAAACCGTGGTGAGGGAGAGCCCAGGGCACTGGAGTGTTTGCAGCTGTAGCCAGACTGCACTGGGTTACTGGTAGTGACCTACAGAGAGCACCACAGGCTTCTTCACAGCCTGCACCTCTGCAAGAGGGAACCAGGGCTGCTCCAGCTCTGCTGCCATCAGTTCCTTGGCACCCTTGACTAAAGATGCCTTAGGCTGATTGCCCTGCAGAAATGTGGCAGGCAGCTGATTGAAAGAAATGGTCTTAAGATAGTTTTACTAAGGCAAAGCTAAGCTTGAGTATAAAAATGAGAGTTCAAGAACGAAATATAAAATTTTTTCAACCTGGTCCACAGCCCGAGAAAAGCTTTGTTCTGGAATTTACGTATCATATGAGATAGTCCCATCTCTCTCCATTATCTTCCTTTTGATCTTCTTCACAGAGGCATTCATTCAAATGTGGAGAATTCTAATGGCAATGCTTGTACTTAGCGTAATGATATCAGATCTGGAAGGGCTGTTACTCCTTAAAAAAAAAGGAAAGATCAAACCCAACAGCCTAAAATACTGCCACGGAACGAAAGACCACAGAAAAGGGATCTAGAAGACACCACATGGGGAGAAAGCTGTAAGAGGGCACTTGGTGTTCGTCCTAGGAGTTTACTTACTCTGTAATCTTGTGCATGTACTACTGAAGCAGCGTAAAGGAGGAGGACCTATTGTCAAACTTTACACACCTCTGCAATTGCAGGACCTGTGTGACCTCACTAGAGTTGCTTTAGCAATTGCAGGCAATAGTCTTCAGTAGGACTTAATATAAGGAGCCCAGTGACGAGTGCTGCTCCCCAGGGGTCAGTAGTGGCACTGGCACTGTTTAACATCTCTGTTAGCAACATGGGCTGTGGGATCAAGTGCACCAACAACACCAAGCTCTGCGGCATGGTTGACATGCTGGAGGGAAGGGAGGCCATCCAGAGGGACCCCTGAAAGGCTTGAAAAGTGGACCCATGTGAATCTCATGAAGTTCAACAAGGCCCAGTGCAAGGTCCTGCACCCAGGTCAGGGCAATCCCAAGCACAAATACAGGCTGGGTGATGAGTTGATTGAGAGTAACCCTGAGGAGAAGGACTTGGGGGTGTTGTTTAGTGACAAGCTCAACATGACCCACCAATGTCTGTTTGCAGCCCAAAAAGGCAACTGTATCCTGGGCTGCATCAACAGAAGTTTGACCATCAGATTGAGGGAGGTGATTCTCCCCCTTTGCTCTGGTGAGATCCCACCTAGAGTACTGTTTTCAGCTCAGGGGTCATCAACATAAGAAGGACATGGACTGGTTGGTCCTGACTGAGGCCCAGGAAGATGATCAGAGGGCTGAAGCACCTCTCCTGTGAAGACAGGCTGAGAGAGTTGGGGTTGTTCAGCCTGGAGGAGGCTCCAGGAAGACCTTATAGCAGCCTTCCAGTACTGAAAGGGGGTCTACAGGAAAGGTGGGCGTGGATTCGTTATTAGGGAATGTAGTGATAGGATAGGGGGTAGTGGCTTTAAAAGAAAGAAGAGTAGATTCAGATTAGATATTAGGAAGAAATTCCTTACTGTGAGACACTGGAACAAGTTGCCCAGAGAAGTTGTGGATGCTCCCCCCCCGAAGCGTTCAAGGCCAGGTTGGATGGGGCTTTGAGCAACCTGGTCTAGTGGAAGGTGTCCTTGCCTGTGGCAGGGAGCTTGAAACTAGATGACATTTAAGGTTGTTTCTCACCCAAACCATTCTGTGGCTCTATTGTTGCATTTTCTGAAATTAATAATGGAATACCAGACAAGCCACCCTTGCAGCATTGATTACAAATGCCTAAAATAAAAGAGCAACAAAGCCACACCATTTCCCTCTACACAGGAACTGGTACTTTTATGTACGAGGGTGGGAGGTGTGCATGTATGTGTATGCAACTACATATGTACGTGCATGCAGACTCATATTTCCCACTAGGTAGCAGTCAAGGACTTGTGTGGGAGCTTTACAGCTTGACAAACTCAAAAAGGTGTCAGCTGCATCCAAAGAAAGAGTCATCAGCTCCCTCTGGGCCATCTCCCATTCAAGGTCCTGAGGTCATCTCTGTTTTCCTATCAGCTGAGCCGAGGCTTTGGCACTCCGGGACATGCTGGACCTGGAGTAGCAGCCAAAATAGTCACCATGTGCTTAGCAGGCAGATTGTGCAAAGGCTTGGCTGTCTTGTAGGCTGAAGGGAATTCTCATTTGACATCTGGGGAAAACAGGTGAGTATCTTGTCCGTACAGATTGCTGGCAGACAGTGTTTCACTAATCTAGCAGCCTTCACCAGACTTGCTGAAATTTTGAATGCTGCTTGCACGATGTTGTGGGTTTGTTTTGTTTTGTTTCGTTTTTCATTTTCAGGGAAGCTTCCTAGGCCCAGCACAAGAGTTTGAGGAGGAAAACATTTCCTGTGGTGTTGGACCAGTGGCTTGTGTCCAGCAATGGACTGGAAGTGTCCAGCTTCCCTATTATTGCACTGTTTCAAACTGAATGAGCAGGATGAATGTTTTCCTAATTTTGTTCACAGATTCAGTCACCAAAGCTGGATGAATACAATGGCTTCTGGCCCACAGACCCTTTTGCTCCATCTTCGAAGCTCACAGAGACCATTGCTGCATGTTTCAGCCAAGCCTTTAAGTTTGAATACACTGAGGGAAGGATTGGAAGTATTTTTGCCCCTGAGGACTGTCCCATCCTATGCATTAACCTTGTGAGAGGCATTCTGAACATGATGCAGATAACCATCAAAAAGTCACAAAATGTGTATGAACTACAGGAGGTTTGTTTTTTCCATTCTGATTTTACTGCTGTTCTCATTTTACTGTTATATAGTAACTTGTCTTACATATCCTTCCCAAGCAATTTTCTTTGACCTGTTTAGTGCTATTTCAAGTGGAAAGTTCATTGCCTTTAATCCACACTTACAGGCTGGGATTGAAGGCATCTGCCAAACCAGATACGTTATCGAGGATGACAGCAAGAATAACCATGCCACCATTTCCAAAAGCAAGGACCTGACAGACTGCCAAGACAAAGTGGTGAAGAACATAGGCATGGCATACATCCGCCCCTGCCCCACCTGCAACCTGGTAGGAGCAGCACGGAGCCCTCGTGCCATGGACACCCCACAGCCAGACGCTCCCGCGTGGCGCCGGTGCTCGGAGGGGCTTTGGCCACTCTGGGCTCCGTTAGCTACCGCCCCTTCGTATTTGTGACTGGGTCTCTCTGCACTTCTAGAAAGCCAGAAACATTAAGGGCACAGTGCTGTCTACTTACAAGATGAAGTATGATGACAGCGGGACCTTGATGACGTCTGCTACATCCAAGCAGGTGTATGAGATCTCGCCCTTCAACGAACCCAGCGGGGAAGCAGTCACGGAGGCGAGGTAGGTGCCATGTGTGTCCTTTGTGTAGCTATGATTATTGGAGATAATGCCTAAGGAGATGCCTGAAATGTATTTACTGTTGCATTGTGAGTTAACAAGAAGCGTCTAGCCTGTGGGCTGTGAAGGGCCAATGCATTGTATGTCCCTCAGGATGCCCAGCCAGGTCCCGTGCCCTGCTGTTTGCAGGGTTTGCTGGGCCACCTGAAACATTTGTCCAGCTTCTCAGAGACTTTGGCAGACTCTGATAAAAACTCTTGCCGGTCCTATGACATTACCAGATAAGGCTGAGCAATGCACAAACTGAGCAGTGCACAATCAATTTGTGGTCAATGTAACAGTCCTGCTGGGCACGTCTCAGTCTGCCCCAACTGCTGCATGGGTCATACACTATAGCACAGTGTGGTCAAAGGCTACTGATGCATTTCTTTCTCTCCCTTGAAGACAAGAACTGTCTTTGGTCGGCATTAAAAGGACTCCCATCAGTGCTCCAAAAACTCAGCTGCAAAACCAGGGGAGTCTTCGTTATCATTTCTCAGGAGAGATACTCCGGATGCCAATTCCTCTAGTCAGGATTAAAAATGCACATTTACAGGTATTACAGTCTTACTTGTCATACTCTTTCATTATTTATAAGGTTAACAGACCATCACGTCATTATTTTAGCCATGGATCCTTTCAACTGTCTGTTTTTTCTCATAGTTAACAGAAACACTGAAGCAATTAGTTCAGAATGACAAGGAAGGAGCCACTAAAGAAGCTTCAGCCAAATTCTTACAAATGATCCAACTTTCTCGTGTAGTGACCCTTGATCAGATTGAGTCTTTGTGGGTGCAGTTTGCCAGCGACTTTACCTACAGGTACCTGTATTGCCTTCAACCAGGTTTTTGATCAAAGGCATACAGGGCAATGGGGATAAGGAATGTTGCTCTCCCTGGCAGGCACTGGTTCCTGAGTGCCATCTGTGCTGCTGGAGCTACTGACACATTCCGGTTCCTGAAGGAAAAAATTCATGATAAGAAGCTGAGTAACTGGGAAGCAGCTGCAACTCTCCCTCTCGCCTTCCATTTTGTTACACCCAACAAGGAAACCCTAGAAGTTGCCTCTGTGAGTACAGGTCATTCTTCCTTCTATTTCCCCCTCACTCCTTTTTAAAGGTGAATTCACATGATTATATGTGAAAGATGGAACATATTTCCTCCTAAATTTGTAAAATGCAAGGTATTAACAAAAATAAGGAATGCTTTAGAAAATGTTTTCAAACACGTCTCGTCGAAATTTTTTAATGGCTTTGGTATTTGATGTTAAAACCCACAAGTCCTAAGAAAGTTGCTATTGGTTTATTTTTGCCAAAATACTTTTTTTTTTTAAATATACAAACTCAAGAAAATAATACTGTGTAACCAAAATCTAAAGTACATACAGTATAATTGGAGCAAGTCTGTTCACTTTTATTGCGGCTGAATGAATAGCATTTAACTTCTGAAAACACTTGGGAAAAATCCAAACAAATTTGCCTTTTTATTTCTCAAATGTAATTTTCACTAAACACCAGGTCTAATTACTAGAAACATAAAAGAGTGACACTTCTTTCTTCTGCAGACTTTTCTGACCTGTCCCGAAATCCAGAAAGTACCAATGCATCGAATAATTGTTTACCTGGGATATGGTAGTATGGTAAATAAATACTGTGCTCAGACTTCACTTTGTCCAAATGAACTTCTTCAGGTAAGTGACTTTAATTTTTTATTCATAAGGGGTGAAGAAAATTTTTAAATGCCTCTAATCTAGCTCTCCCAACATTGGCAATTAAGCAACTCACTGTTTAAATGCCTCACTCTTACCTGTGATTGCCTGCAAACTGCAGACAGAATGAAACTCTGAGTGACGCCTTTGAAAAATCTGGTCTTAGTTCAGAATTTCAGGTGTAAGTGGTAAAAGTCCATGGGGATAATGGATCCTGTAAACAACCTGAAAATGAGTTTAGGCATGATAAATTTGTGATTAAAGCGAAGTAATTATGATTCCTCTCTCTACTTTTACATTAGGTAGAGTGGACTTTAAAAAAAAATCTATTTTAAAATTAGGGGGGATGCCCTTGGACTTGGAACAGACTCTGGTGCAGGCATCCACCTAGGATTCTCTTTTACACTCAGGCACAGTTCAAAATCAATTACAACACTGTGTATGGAGAAAAACAAGTGTGCTTGTATGTTCCACGTTTGGCATCCTGGTAATGATGGTGAGATTTTTCTGGGAGAAAAAAATGAACAGCTTTATTCTGGGTTTTGCACCAGTAGTTGTTTTGCTTCCTATGGCAGTGCATATTTTTACACATTACTACAAGTTTGTTACCTAATGAGATTAACACAGTCTGCTCTGTTTTCAGCCGCTCCATGACCTTGCCACTGAAGCCACCAGCAAAAGTGATACCAAAGGCATGGCCTTGGCACTGAAAGCCATTGGCAATGCAGGACAGCCCGCCAGTATCAAACGCATCCTGAAGTTTTTGCCAACATTTTCCGGGGCTGCAGCTTCATTACCAAACAGAATTCATACTGATGCTGTGTTGTCCTTGAGGAAAATTGCCAGAAAAAACCCTGCAAAAGTAAATTAAATTATTATTTAAACAAATGTCTTAGAGGGTATGATTCAGGTTGACTTAGGACTCAGGAATAATAAAGCCATCAGGTAGTGTTAGCAACCCTGGGCAGGTTTCTCAGTTACTGGTCTTCCTCTTGTCCACACTGCAAATTCCTGACATCACCTTGTGCTTGCTGATATGCTGAGAAAGAGGTTGCTTTAGTCACTGTAACACTGGGCTCATTACTGGTGGCTGTTTCTTCCAGTGCTGTTCACAGAGCACCCATCAATATCTTCATTTTCAGTGAAGTCTCATGCTCAAGTTCAGGATTTCGTTCTCAATTCACTGGAGATCACACATACACCATTTAGGAACCACTTCTCGTGGAGAGGTTGTGAGGTACTCACAAGTTGTGTCTTCTTCCTCTAGGTACGGGAGATCTCCCTCCAGGTCTTTATGGACAACACACTTGCTCCTAATGTCCGAATGGTGGCCTGTGTTGTACTCTTTGAGACTAAGCCTGCTCTTCCAACTGTAACAGCCATGGCCAGCTCGCTGCTGACAGAGCCCAGCTTACAAGTAGCCAGTTTCACATACTCACACATGAAGGCTTTGGCAGTGGGCAGGATTCCACAGCTCTATAAGCTGTAAGTAGAGGAAGGAGTATATTTTTCAGTAGGAAATGGTGATTTTTTTCTTGTGGCTTTGTAAGAATTTGGTCACAGTTGACTATCTTCATATGACTTTAAATCCTTATTACACAGATCTGCTGCTTGCAACATCGCTGTTAAACTACTGAGCCCCAGACTTGACAGGCTGAACTTTCGTTACAGCAAAGTCATTCATGTTGGCCATTATTCCTGTGAGTACCAGATGCCCTGCTCACTGCTTCAGCTAACATAGCCAAATGCCTTTATTGTGTTCCACAATTTTAATCCACAAGCCAGTCATGGGCTGTGAATTTAGTGTGCTCTTGAAATAGAAAAATCGCAAGAACCTCCTAACATGCAAAATCCCTTAGATGTTCTACTACCCTCTGGGTATCTAGTGGGGAAAGCCATGCCTCCACATGGATTGAAGCCTCCTCCTTCAGTTACTGTGGCTGTGTTGACTCTGCCTTAGAACAAAGTTCTCCTCTTGACGTTGCAGACTTGAGGTTCTGTGGGACTGGATCCTGGCAGGACCCCTTGTGATCTACTCCAGTATGTACCTGAGGTGGATTACATGCACCAGACACCTCGGAGACCCTAACCAAAATCTCTGCTGCTTTTTATTCCTGTGATAGCTGAATATCAAGCTGGTGCCATTTGGAGGGTTTATCTAATGAACAGTCCCAAAACCATGTTCCCATCTGATATAATCACAAAAATACGAGGATATTATGCAAACACTGCAATGGACATTGTTGAGGTAAGGATTTCATTAAAACAGCCAGCTAGATGCAAGCCAGCTACAGATAGTGTCATTTTATTAAGCCACTTGGACTCTGACTTAGTGCTTAACTCCATCTCTGGCTGTGAGGGTGGATGTGGAAGAGAAAATTTAGATAATGATTATGATTTTACTTAGGCTTCTTTGGGCTTCTTGACATATACACTCCTAAATGAACACATTCAGTATAGGCATAAAAATCTAGGAGAACAGAGGAAAGCTTACACATCAGAACATTCATCTGCCTGCCTAAAGTCACATGGTACCTAGGGTACTTTGCATAAGTACAGGGAAATAGTGTCTGAAATTAAATTTCAGCCAGCTGTGCAGCCAGGTAGCGTGAAGCACATGTAACAGCATGTGGCTGTCTACTCAGCTTCTTGGGTAAGTTTTGCAGCCTGGACAGAGCTTTGAGCTGCCCTAAAATTATCCCTGCTGTCTAACTGAAAGCTGGCTCAGCAAGTCCTCAGCATCTGCAGCCATAGGCCAGGTAGACCCAGTGTGTAAGTGCAGTGGCTTCATGAGGTGTGTACTTAGAGTGACTTCAGTGAGTACCTAACACTAGGTACGGTGGTTTTCCTGGGCTCTCGTGTGCTGTGATGCCTGACTCTGTTCCGCGCAGGTGGCCCTGCGGTCACAAAGCCTACTGGAGCTGATCAGGAAGCAGAGTATTCCCTTTGCTGAGTACGACACGCACAGGACGCTGAAGGCCCTGGGCCAAACGGTAATGTCTCCACATGCCCAGCTGAAGGCCCCAAGCCGAATGGTAACATCTCCATGTGCCCAGCTGAAGGCCCCGGGCCAAGCGGTAACATCTCCACACGCCCGGCTGGCCTCTCTGCCACACGCAGCTCCCCCCAGCACCGGGGCTGCATCACCCACACACCCACTGGGATGTCCCTTTGATGTTTCAGTGAGAAAGGAGTCAGTCATCCTCTTTGGTCATGGAAAGATGTACTTATGTTGTACTTGCGCTGTCAACAGATGCCACCTTTTCACTCAACATGTGTCAGCCCTTAATGTACGGTACGAAAGATGATGATAATGCTGACAGCCCAAACTAATGCGGTTTAAAGCATACGTTAAAACATAGTAAGTGGTTGCTCTTTTAAAATTATTACTGAATAAAGTTTTTGTTCATGAGTCCTGAGGCGTCATCCACTACTTACAGCAGCAGAAATTAGCAGGTCCTTACCTCACCTTTGCACGAGGAAACTCCCACTGAAGTCAGTTATGCAACATAAGAAAGGCCATATTGGTTCAGACCTGTAAGATGTCTATCAGTTTTTTGGCTGAGAAACCACATTTAGCATCCTTCAGATGGGATCTGCTCTTTGCTGACACATTAATATATTTTAAGTTACATTATCTGCTTCTTCCCTTTCTCACCATTTCTCCTTAACACCACAGCTTCTGGGATGGAAAGAACTGCCTCCTGAAGACCCTCTGGTGTCCACTGATGTCAGAATTTTGGGCCAAGAAATTGCCTTTTTTGACTTTGATAAAGATGCCATTCAGCAGACCATGACGGTACTGACAAGTCTTCTTCGTTGGTGATGCTGAATAGTTTCCTTTCCCTGTCTCCCCTTACCTACTTACCTAACCTACTTAACTTCTTCAGGGCCTAACTGGATCACCAAACTGGCAACCAGTGGTGAAAAAAGTAGTGGAAGAAGCCCAGCGAGGCACTTCAGGCCAATGGAGGCTGCCGGCCATGGTGGGCGAGCTGCGGCACATTGTCCCCACAGTGGTGGGTGTGCCACTGGAGCTCGGTCTGTGCAGCACTACGCTGGCCCAGGCTGCAGCCAACGGTGAGCTTGGGGTGCCAAACCCAGCAGTTTCCCCACAATAATTGTGGGGCCAATCCCTCTGCTGAAATTACATTCCTCTATAATCTTGAAAAATGCTCTTGTAATGTGGAAACATTAGTGTTCAGCTAACTCCAAAGGGGTTGAGAAGTAATTACTATGTTTCACCTAGGACATATTTGCATTATTCTGGTTTGGAATAGCAAACTTTAAATAATCACGTATTTTAAAATGTAAAAGCTCTGCCCAGGTGTTAACTGCTATGCGTATTGAAAACACTGTATCCCCAGCATTCATTGTTTCTCTGTTCATATGATTCCTTTCCCTCTTTTGCAGTGGGTATACAGATAATACCACCATTATCTGAAAATTTCAGGCCTTCACAGCTGTTGGAAACCAACGTGGATATTCATGCTGACATCAAGCCAAAGTAAAAACAACATACGTTTCCATGCATACACATAGAAGCATTTATGTTTATATTTGAAATAGATACGTGCTCACATGTTGCTATCTAGGGGTCTTACTTGTCCCAGATTTGGGGTGGTTGTACTAGGCCAGAGCACTGAAGTTGTGAGAAAGCAACCCAATTACCTGATGCTTTACAACCCTGCAGATGCTGTCCTGCCTTTGCTAAAAATGCTCACATTGGTACCTGCTCAGTGACTACAGATACTAAGCCATGAGGGTGCACTTGCTTATGTATGAGCAGGTTTTCACAAGTTCAGTATAGAATCGCATCACGGCCTGGCACAAGCTGGGGGCTTTCAGGGGGAAAAGGGGAATCTTTCTGGATTCGTACAACCAAAAGCAACAGTACTAATAATGATAATAGTAACAATGCTGGTAATAATAATAGTGATAATGCTAGTAGTAATATAAAACTAGGTGTAACTGGAAGCTAGAAGATTCTAGTGTTAGCTTGTCCTCAAGCAAGGTGTCAGTGACAAAGCAGTGAGAGGTTCTGCATTAGTGTTGTTCATTAGATAAATCCCTTCACTTTTTCCAGTGCTACCTCAGCCTGTTTTTATCCTGTTAGGATACATCTCTTCAGCCAACACAACAAACAGAACAGTGTGATAATGTAACTTTGCATTTCAAAGTTAAATATGTGCATATTGATCTGTAATGATGCTTGTTTTTATTTCCACTCTTTCAGGGCTTATTTTCATATGATTGCAATGATGGGGATCAATACACAGTATTTCCAGAGCGGCCTTGAATTTCATGCAGAGTTCAGTGCCAACACTACAATGAAATTTGATGCCAGGATAAATATGAAAGAGAAAAATTTGAAGATTGAAACGCCTCCCTGCCACCAGGAGGTTGAGCTTGCAGCTGTGAGGTACAGAAGAGCTTGTTGCATTTTGCTTGTTATGTGTTGCTGATTGCGAGCCCCCTGTTATAAAATGAAAGTAGAACTCCTTGTTAGGCTCTGCCATACCTTGGCAGCTGCAAAAAGCTCAGTATTATCTTTTTTGCACCAGCAAAGATAGGTAAGCAAAATCAGAAGATGTAACTTTTGTGTTATTTATCACCTCCACAGGAGTGAAGTTTATGTTATTTCAAGGAACATGGAAGAAGTAGATTCTGAAAAGAAAACCAGGCTTCTCCCCAAAGGAGAAGTACCAATTGTCTCTGACCAGCCATCAGAAAGTTCTTCCAGACCTGGCAGCTGGAAGGTAGGGAGGCCTCTCCCCATCTGTGTTGCAGACAGGTAGAGAACAGACAGCTCCTCAGAGGGGCTGAGCACCCCCAGCACAGCAGCTGGCTAACCAGATCACAAACACAGAAAATGAGATGCAGCAGGTGCCTGACATATCCCAAACCAAGCCTGACATAAATCCCAATGGGTTCAAGCCATGTTTATTCAGTCTGCTCCCTCTCAACATCTCATGCAAGTAGGGTTGCTTTTGACAAGATCTTCCTTCTTGCATATCTTTTGTACAATATCCCTTTTTTTTTTTTTATCTCAAGCTAGAGCAATGTGGAAAAGATCTCTCTTGGGCAGGATATACAGTTTTCTTCCCAAATCCTGAAGTAATCTGCAGTGGGTTGCAGAAGCCCATTCTCTTCAGCTTCTGAGGCTGACGTGGGAAGGCTAGGTTGACTTGCAACAGGAGGGTTAGTAGCCCAAAACCAATGCAGAGAAAAAGCTCCTCCAAGAACCGTGCAGGTTCTCACTGGGAAGTGTGCTCGTGAAACACTGCCTGGGAAAGGCTTGACAGGAGAGTTGTGCTCTTCCACAGAGCACTTTGGAGGCCACCTCACTGCTTGCATCTCTGATTTTAAGTAGTACATGCCTTACTCAGGCAGGACCATCATCATTCTATTAACAGGAAGAAAGATTTTAGGATTTGTCACAATTTTCTTTTTAGTGGAATTTACCTTTATTTGCCATACTTTTCTTTAAAGCAGCAAAGCGATATTCCTAGTGTGATATCCAAAGGATACCAGCAAGGCTCAGAAGAGGCACATCACTGCAGTGTACGAGGAAGATCTTACACACGCACCTTCTGTAAAAAGCTTGAGAGTTTTGGATGTTCTGCTTGTCTCAGCCTAAAGTCACAAACTTCTGCTTTCTTAAGGAATACCTTTCTGCACAAATTAGTTGGAGAACTTGAAGGCAAAATAGTTTTGAAGCCAGGTACAGTCATGCCAACAAGCTTTTCTGTCGATCTCTGTGAATGCCACTCAAGCAGCACAACCCTGGAAAGTAAGTATCTCGACTTCAGTTCATACAGATGCCGATATTGACAAAATCGAGCTGGAGATTCAGACAGGATCCAAAGCAGCTTCCAAAATAATTGATGTGGAAAGCTCACGGTCTAAGGAAGAGGAAGAGATATCTCCATACAAGGATATTCAAGCTAAACTGAAAAAGATTTTAGGCATTGAAAAGGTGTTTCAGGTAAGAGACTTGGAGCATTGGAGACGGAAATATTTTCCTATAAATGAAAGGGTTTCCAATGTGGAAAACTGGCATGGGAAAGCACAGATTTTGGCTGGGATGAATGGGCCTAAGTGAGTTGCAGTGTGTGGGTCCATGACCTTGTATTTCCTTGCAAGCCTGTGGTGAGCAGCTTGTCTGACACCCAGAGAAATGCTACAGCACAAGTTATAAATTCATAATGCTTTGTGAACTGTTTTTGGAGGTCGCAAATAAAACCCAGCACCGCAGGAGACGGGTTCACCGCACAGAAAAGTCTTCGGTTACAGGCCTCTGGGCAGAGCCCAGGGCAGCCCACCTCTCCAGCTCAGCCTCGTCTGATGGCAGAGAGCCTGGAAACGAACACAGGAGAGATGCAACAAGGCAATCTGGGAAGAAGCATGGCAGCAGGAAGAGCAGGAGAAGCAGCAGCAGCAGCAGCAGCTCTGCTAGCAGTAAAATCTGCAGCAGCAGTGGAGAAGATCACTCAGGGGACAGGCACTGCAGAGCAGACAGTGAATATTTCACCCAGCAGGTAATTCACCTAGGTTGGATGGACATTTTTATATTTCTTGTAGCAAATGTTTTTGTACATTGGGAAATTGAACCCACAGAACATGGACCAAAGAAAGAGAAAACAGACTGTTGAGGGTGGCTGTTTGCTGCAGGATAGGCAAGGTAACCACCTAGAAAAGCTTTCTTCCCTTTTTAACCTCTGGTTCTCTGAAACATTTCAGTTCAGAAGTTTCAAATTTCAGAAGATTCCAGTTCAAGATGTCTTAAAAATTAATTTTATTTTGCCTTTTGTCCATTCTCAATACTGAACTTTAAATGCATTTATCAAAATTTGTCTTCTCTCAGATTTTCTTACATGTTATTTCCACAGGCAAACCTACCTGTTTACCAGTTTTGGTTCAAGCCAGCAGATGAACAGGTACCTCTACTGCTTATACTGTCAGCAGGGTCTACAACTGCTCTCACTAGAGCTTAGTTCTCTGAGAATAAAAATATGAGAAATTAATACTGCAACAACTTCCATGGTAAACAACTTGACCAAGATGATTCTCTTTTTTATCAGGACCCTGGAAGGGAAGTGCTAAACAGCAGCATCAGTTCCTCCTCTTCTTCAGCTACTGATGAAGGCATCTCTAGAGCCATGTCTCAGGTGAGTATCTTAACTTACAATAAAAACATTTACTTTGGATTTCCAGTTATTGTGTGTTTATAACAGAACAGGAAAAATATGGTGAATTAACATATTAAATTATATATAGAAAGACAAATAATTGTTTCCTGTCTTAGAAAGGTGAATACATTGGTTAGCCATTTAATGTTTTTTAATATTCACTCAATATACTACCTTTTTAAAAGAAACTGGAACACAAATTATCATGGTTTTAAACAGGTGGCTAAAAAAATTTTATTTAAAAGACTATTAGCTAAAGTGCAGGTTGGCAAGAGAGCAGTGCTGAGCTGGTTAATATTGGTTCTTTATATAGTAGGGTCCTACTCCATACTTCCTCTTGTTACACTGAAATTACTTTACAGAAAGATTCCCAACACTAGTGTTTTACTTACATAAGTCACAGCAGCTCCGCCTCGAAAGACTGTGATGGAACTACACACAAACTGAACAGACTGCACAATGATCTGTGAGGTGTCCTGCACTTCTTGAGCGAAGCTTTTCCTTTACAAATACTTTTTATCTGTAGTTTTACTATAGTAACTTTAATGCTTTATGTCTTTGGTCTCTATTTCCTCTCTACTGACTTAAGCCTAAATTCCTGGGAGACAGCAAGGCACCAGCGCTGGCTGCAATCCTCCGTGCCGTCCACAGGGCCCAGCAGCCGACGGGATTCCAACTGGTACTGTACACTGACACCCAACCCAACAGGTCCAGGGTACAGGTGTTTGTCACAAGCATCACAGGACCAAGTAGATGGAAACTCTGGGCTGATGCTTCAGTCATAAATTCCCATAAAATATTGGTAAGTTTAAATAATGATCAGCTCAAATGTAAATGGAATATAATGATGTTACTAAGTGTTATTAAAAAAAAATAAAAATATACATATATATTCCCCTCTACTAGGGTTCTCTTAAATGGGGTAAAGATTGCCAGGACTACCAGATTGCTGCTCAGATTGCAACAGGGCAATTTGCTGCTTATCCAGCTATGCAGATGAAGCTGGAGTGGCCAAAAGTACCTTCAATAATTCGAACAACAGCAAGATGGTGAGATTCTACTTCAGTTTTTGAAAAATGCACCTGTGTCAATGCTCCAGATAATTACTAATTCAGTTCTGCAATTTCTGACCTGGAAAAATTTCACTTAGTCAGTATGATACTATAAAATCGGATCACATGCGTCTGCTTTTCTCTGTGTATTCATTTCCTCAAAGCATAGTACATTTCAGTTTGTAGGAAATCAGCTTGAAACAAAGAGGATGATGAGATTCACCTAATCTTTCATAGACCTTTAATTTAAAGTGCCTGAATTAAGAAGTTTGTCTCCTAGTGCTCCCTAATTGATGGAGGGTCAGAGCAGAAACCTAACCTTGGTTCTCTGAAGGAGTCCGTCTCTTACTGACTGTCCGGAGACAGTAATTTCCTAAAGAAATACCTTCCCTCTGGCTTGTGAAGAAGGTGATACAAATACTTCCCATAAGGCTTACTGCACACTAAATAGCCAATGTTGTGTGACACTTCGTATAAGAAAACTGTAACTGCTGGATTAGGTTCACCTATGGGTCTATCCATACACATGAAGTATCTGTTGTATTCATTCAGTCGTTGTATGAATGATTTTGCCTACAATAACACATAGATCCATATCAAAGCCTCATTTTTTTCATAGTGCTACTGAAAGAAAGACACATAGAACAACCCAGTTATTTGAATTATTTCACATTAAAGGCATACAGGTGATTTGGCTAATGAATATCTAATGAAGAGGATAATTTTTTATATTAGATTGAATTACCTGAAGTGCTGTCATCTGCCCTTATTAGAGGGGATGGAATCATCCAATTAGCTATCCTGGAGCAAAGCCACAGAACTCAGCTTTTTTCTGCTCTGACTCTATGCTTTCTTTAAAGGAATATTTTCTGTATTTCTCTATTTTAGTTCTAAGCCTGTAAGGGAACCTGTCATAGAGATCTCTCTGTCAACTCATCGGCAATTAGTGGGTAAAGGATCCTTGCTAAAAGTTACCACTGCAGGAATGACACATTAATATAAGATCATTTATTTTTTAGCATGTTCATATTTTAGTTTTATGTAATGGATGCCTATTTTTAACTCTGTATGTTTGTAAAACATATTGGCTATGCTTTTCTTCTTCAATTTGCTATTCATATCAATTTGCTATTCAGTCTCTCAAACTGTTTTGCCCATAAACAGCTAAAATCTGCCTGCCCCTTCTCCCATACACGACACCATGTATTACCAAACCCTGACACCAAACATGTCTAACATAGGATGTGTGCTGCTTTATGGGAGTATTTTAGTCTGAACAGATAACAATTTTTTATCAGAGACAGATCCTTTTAATCACTCAATTCCTTTTCCAGGTTCTACTCATTTCTTCCAGGAGCTGCTTATGTGCTTGGGTTTTCCCAGAGGCAGCAGCGTGGTCCCTCTCACCAGGCAACCTTGGTTATGGCTCTGACCTCTCCAAGAACCTGTAATGTGGTCCTCAAGCTACCTGAGGTAACTTTTTCCACTACCTTTTATCCTGGGGCATTCAATACCTATGAAATCAAAGGTTAATAGCTTTTTTAACCACTGATTTATTTTTTTTTTTAAGTTTATTAAATGATAAAGAAGCTCCCATCACCAGGATGTTATATTCACACAGTTGATTCCATTATGAAAACATCTTCCAGCACATTTCTTTTTCTCATGTAGCATGCCAACAGGTGAAATAAGAAACAGGTTACAAAGCAAACATCATGACTGATAGCACATATTAACAATAAGTTATTAAAAGTATTATTTCATGCTACTAACACAGGACTTGATTTCTTTTAAACTCTGACCTACATCTAGATTCTGATATAGATACCAGTCAGTACAGTCCCCTTTGAACATTATAGGAAAATGCTATCTCATCTCTGCTCTGTATTTTGCATTTACATTCATGTTTGGTTTTGGCTGTTTTTCAGCTCACAATTTATGACAGAGCCATCAGGCTTCCTCTGCCATTCCCTTCAGGTCCAGGTACATCGACTCCAACACTACCATCCCCTGACTGGAGTGCCTTTTCCCAAGCAGCACTTTCAGTCATTGAAAACCTTAAAGGTCAGCAATTTATTTTACATCCACTTAAAAAATCAGTTGGACTTCAGAGAGAAATAAACTAATCCATATGAAAATCTGTGATGTTGTGAAGATGTAAAGAAAAGAACATATATTAGTAAGATTGAATATTCAGTTCCATGACAAATAGTGATTCCAAATGCACCCATTCCCAAATTGATCCATTTCAGCTTCACTGCTGAGCTTGCTTGTGAAGAACAAAAGCATGGCAAAATTTATGAGAGGGACACCTAAGTGACCTCAGATTTGGGGTGCTCTGCTTGATTAGTGCTGTTATGTAGATGCTAAAACAGCTTCAGAAATATACCCATTAATTTCACCTGCTGCACTTGATTTTCAGTGGATTATTGTTTTATTAATGCTGTATTAAGAGCTGATGACATTATATTTACTTAGGGTGAGTTTTAAATGGAAATCTTTATGTAATCCTGGGAGAAGGAGTCACATTTTGCTTGAAATCAGTGGGCTAATATCATACCTATGCACATTTCTTTGCTAAACAACAAAACTAGCCTATATTAATTAAAACTGCTTTAAAATTATTTCTAATTAGAGCTCACAGGATTTCCAACAAAATATCATTACAGTAAAAAAAGGGAGAAGTTTACTCTAGTGTGGCTTTTTTTGCTTACTCCTAACTATTTCTGTTCATGGTTATGGCTCAATAAAGTTAGCAGCACTTTAGTGAATTTTCCTCTAGTGTTAATGATATCTGAATTTTTAACAAGGTTTGAGAAATTATTTTGACTACAACTAACTTACAAAAGCCAAAAGGCCACAAACAGAGAGTTGCACCGGCACCAGCTGTGAGCAGAATTTCTCTCACAGTGACTGAATCATGAATGGGTTACTCTGCTGCCTGGGGACTGGCAAAATTTTGTTTTCATGTAGCTACAAATCCAATATTTCACCTGAAAGAATCATTTTGCTTTTACATGGGAATAGGTAAAAGCAGAAAATGGTCTTTTTTTAAAAAAAAAAGAAAATGCAAATCTAAAATAGAATAACTTTCTTACATAAAGTATAAAAGTCTTGCTTTTGACTGTTGGGTTTTTTTCAGCTTATTGTTCAGTTTTTCAAAACACCATCACAACCTTCAATGGAGTTCAATTTAACTATTCAATGCCTGCAAACTGCTACCATGTCTTGGTGCAGGACTGTAGCTCAGAACTGAAATTCCTGGTGATGATGAAAAGACTTGAAGAGTCTGCAGACTTGATAGCAATAAACGTCAGACTCGCCAGCCAGTAAGTAACTTAATGACAAATAGATGTCAAGCTGAGTGTGCCATTAACATGAAGACCAGATTGTTAGTGCAGACTGGTGTTAGCATAAGACTCATGTAGAAATTACTGATGTCAATGGAAAGATTTCTAGGAGTGTCACTGGAATTTGGGACTTAGTCTTTCAAAAGTGCTTCTGAAGCATATGTGAGGTTCAGAGTAACCTAAAATTTTTATTTCCCAAAATTCTTCATTAATTTGTTAGCATTTAACCATCTCATTTCAGTTCTTAGTAATTTGGTAGACATATAAACTATAAATCCAAAAGGGATTCCTGTAATCATTTAGTCTAACCTCCTACACTAAGATAATAGTTAGAACTAATTAGGAACCACAGCAGAGATGTTGAGAAGTGGACATAGCTAAAAAGGGAATTACTTATCCCAGATTAGAGACACTCTTTTAGGTCACCCCTTAGTTGGTGCATAATGTTCTAATCTATTTGAAATTAACTTAAGACACACCATTTCATCTTGGAGCAATCACCTCTGCCATCATATGTTCTTTTTTAAAAGTATAGTCTGATACTCTAAATTGTGTGGGATTATGCATACCAAAATCATTGTAGGAAGTATTCTTCAAAGCCCATAAATAAGCTTTGATCTGTAAGGTTTCATTACAATTAATTATTTAGTTCTGAAAGTTGTGTGCTTTTGCTGTGCCACAGTGTTAGAGAAACAGAGAGAAACTGGTATTCCCTGCAACTGCTTTGTGAAGAAGAGAAGGATGCTCATTTCATAGACTGTATCTCATGTGATAAAGATATTTCTCATCACTGTGTCATTCCTGATCGTTTCATACAGCTCTACAGATGTGCTTCTGATGTGCCTAGAGCTTTGTATTTCTTCATGAGAGCAAACACGGCTCTGAAGAAAATACTACAATCCCTGGACTTTAAGAGAACTGCTGTAGGGAATGCAATCCTCCTTTGAAATGTAAAGTGCCTTCAACTTACTCAAACGCAATAGCAGTCATATTGTTCCTCAGCAAGGGTCCCTGGAGCCTGGTGTCTTCCTGCCTGGACCGTGTCCACAGGCAGACACACAGAGATGAGTAAAGCCAGAGGAAGGTGTATGGTGAGCACTCCTCCTAGCACACTCTCCCGGGCTCCTTCCCAAAGGGTAGCAGGCAGTTCCTGCCAGAATGATACGAGCATCCTGCAGTGTTGGTTCTAGCAGGACTGGACATTGTGAGCTGAGCAGGGCAAAGGAGAATCATTTGCTTATACTCGTTTCCTTTATTTAAAGTGAGGTTGACATGTATGTTTCCAATGGACTCATCCAGTTGAAGATTAATGGTGTTCAAGCTCCAACAGATATTCTATACACATCTAATTCTGGTAAGACACTCATCTTTAGATTTCATTTAATGTCTTCTGATCTTTTGAAGAAGGAGAGGATGTGATCCTGCAAGCGCCTCTCAAGACAAAAATCGCTCTAATTTGAGAAACAATTTGATCACTTTAAAGTGATCAAGAAAGATGACCAAAGAAAAAGATGCTTATCCTGTGTATCTTTGCCCAAATCACATAATGCAAGGCTGTGGTACCTTGCGCTGATGACAGAGACCCACAGAACAAACATCTAGATGTCCCCTGGCCACCTTTGACAAAAGGCTATGGCTTGTCCAGGGCAGGGAGCAGTGCGGTCTTTCTCGCTTTCCCCATCTCTCTCAAGGCATATCAGAGCCTGCCTTATGTCCCCAGAAATTTAACAAATGGTTCAGGTTGGACCCTAAACCCATAAAACTTCCTTTTACATGGAACCCCTTTTTGCGGTGTTGTTGCAGACGCAAGCATGCTGATCAGCAGTGAGAAGGAAGGCCTGTCACTGAAAGCCCCAGATTATGGCATTGAGAAACTATATTATGATGGGCGTAGACTTGAGGTATTTTTTAAAATAATTTTCAGTGGTTTTATATTTAGAAGAAGAACGTTTAAGTGCACGTTTTCTCTATTTCCACAAAGATTCGCATTGCTTTCTGGATGGCTGGAAAAACATGTGGTATTTGTGGAAAATATGATGCTGAGAAAGAAAGGGAATATCAAATGCCCAGTGGATATTTAGCTAAAGATGCTGTGAGTTTTGGTCAGTCCTGGATTATCTCGGAAGACCCCTGCACTGGAGGTACTAAGATTCTAAAATATATTAATGTCATTGCCTTTGGCTAATTAATTAGTCACATGAATAGATGCTTTATATTAACTGTAGCATTACCATCTTTTTTCACTATTTTTTCTGATTAGTGGCCACAGACAAAAAAAAAAAAAAAAAAAAAAGACATGTTTTTCCTGAGTTGGGTAGCTCTGCAAGTTCTAATTTTGTTGCATTTTTATAATCTTATGCATTATGTAGTTATCTGAGGTTTGCATGTTCCACATAAAATTATAAACTTAAAACTCCCTAGGATGGTAAGTTAGTATGAAAAGTAGGTAGTCTGACTGTTGACAGAAGACATTTTATGTTATACTTAATAGTTTCATTGCACCACAGAGACTAAGGTACTCAGCCATGGCAAGGCCGGTGTGGTGCTAAGCATAGTGTAGATGTGGATATGTGGACGTATAGGGGCCACTACTGCCCCACAATGAAATGCTGTCATAGTTTAGATGAAGTTGAGTGTCATTTGACCAAGGTTTTCACATGTATCTTTTTGGATTTGGACATCTATGTCCTACCTAGATCCTAGTTGTCATGCCTCTGGCCTTGGGACTGTGTCCCATGTGCCTGTTTTCTCACAGCCCAAGCCACTAAGAAAATTGGCTCACTTCAGTCAGGTAAGTTTCAAGTAGCTTCAGTCACTTGGTTCATCTAATTGTCTTAGTTGTTGCTAGCTCTAAAAACTAAGTCAAAAAAGTTAGTTCTATAAATTCTGTATGTGCTTTAAAAGAATTCATGTTTTATAGCTTGTAAACTGCACCGCAAATTTGTCAAAATTGAGAAGACGTTTGGCTTTGAGAAGGTGGCAGCAAAATGCTTCTCCGTGGAGCCAGTTCTACACTGTGTAGAAGGCTGTTCAGCAGCCAGGACTGTTCCCGTCTCCGTGGGCTTCCACTGCGTGCCAGATGGTGAGTCTGCAGAACAGTACCCGGGCTCAACGCAACCGGTGTGTCCGGCGGTGCCGCTGTGAAGACCCGTGAGGCTGCCGGTACTACCGAGTACCAGGAGTATCTTGATACATAGAAAAAACCGCTCACATGAACTCTTTTCTCATTTACAGACTCTGCTCTCAACTTGGAGCGACAGATGGGGCTAGACCAGAAATCCGAGGACGTCGTGAGCACGGTTCCTGCTCACACGGCGTGTTCCTGTCCCCAGCAGCCGTGCCCGGCGTGACGCCTCGCCCCTGGGTGTCACAGTCCGCCGGGCCGCGCTGTCAGCCCGCGGGCGCTGCCGGCCTGGACACGGAGTGGACGTCCTTGTCCCTTCAGGAGATGCCTTTCTCTACACATCTTTAAGATAATTCGGGACACCCTTCGCCGCGCTTGATCGTTCAATAAATCGTTTCTCTTTAAAAGCGGTCGGTAAAGATCATTCCTGCCCGGCGCAGCGGC